ATAAAGTATTTCTTCTAAATTATTGTATGCCAGTGCTGTGTGTGAGGTAATTTAAGGTGGTTCTGACAAGTGTCATCGGTATCTTCATATCCGGTCACATGGGCGGCAAGCCACTCTGGTCACATGGGCAGCAAGCCACTCCCACAAAGGAGGCCACACCCACAGAGTAGGTTCGAACAATTTTTGAAACCCACCACTGGTTTTATGGCAAAAAGTTTAGGAATCTCTCCCCTCAACTAGCAATGAGTGTAACAAAATGATTCCTCCAATATCATTTTTAAAAAAATATATAAAATTCAAAGAAGAAAAGAAAATAGGAAATTAAGGGAGGGGAAATGAACAGGGGAAAGGAGGTGTGAGATACAAGGGGGAAGAGAAAAAGAAAGATAAGTGGACAAAAATGGCCCCCACAATCTGTGCCTTATAGAAAATGGTAATAGTTAAAGACATTAATACTCTGACTTGAGAGAAAGACATGTTTTAAGAAACCTAACAGTTTGCTTCAGATGGAAAAAATATTACAGTCAAACTGGATGTCCACACAAAAATGCAATAGAAAATTAAAGGGAAAAAAGTTGCTGTGTGTTTTCAAGTTAGGAGAGGTTGAGTGCAAAAAAGATTAGCCATATCTTTAAAACGTGTAGCCCCATTAACTTAAAAGGGAGCCCTGCTTATCTAAAAGGGGAATTCTTTCTTTGAGCTTATTTTTGAGAAAACACTAATTGGATACAAAGGTTTTCGGATACAAAGAATGGGACATCCAGGGATGGTTGTAGAATTGTATTCATTCACAGTAATATTTACATTAAAGCAAATGCGGAAAAAAAGTTTGTGTTATTACTTGAGAGTTTAAAATAGCAGTACCACGGGCACCAATGAATAGGACATTTTTGAATGTAATATAAACAGTTTAGAGAATCCAGGTGAATTTAATAGAGAAGGTATTTAATGAAGTTACAGGTTTTATGCAACTTAACTGGCGTTTAACTGGTGCACAGTATTGTGATAATGGCTTCCACCACAAAACCGCAGTAGACAAAAGCGCGCTCGACGAAAGCGCGTACGTGACGTCATCACAGCACG